CATCTTAGCCATCTTTAAGTGTACAGTTCAGTGGCGTTAAATACACGTTGCTGTGCAACCATCACCACCATCCATCTCCAGAACATTTTCATCTTCTCAAACTGAAACCCTGTACACGTTAAACAATAACTCCCCATCTTCCCTCCCCGCAGCCGCTGGAAACCACCATTCTACTTTCTGTCTCTGTGAATTTGACTACTCATAGAAATGGAATCATACAACATTTGTCCTTTTGTGTTTGGCTTACTGGACTTAGCATAATGTCTTCAGGGTTCATCTGTGTTGTAGCGGGTGTTAAAACTTCATTCCTTCTTAAGGCTGAGTGATAGTACAGTGTGTGTATACTCCACGTTTTGTTTAGCTATTGATGGATAATCAGTGGACACTGGGGCTGTTTCTACTTTTTGGCTGTTGTGAACAATGCTACTGTGGACATTTGTGTAACAACATCTGTTTGAATTCCTGATTTCAGTTGTTTGGGGTATATACCCAGAAGAGGAGTCACTGGGTCATGTGATAATTTTTGTTTTCTACAGTGGTTTTTAACATTACCAATGCGCAAGGGTTCCAATTTCTCTACATCCTCATCAGCACTTGTTATTTCCTTTTTATTATTATTTTTATAATACTCTTCCTAATGGGTGTGAAGTGATTTTGATTTGCATTTTCCTAATAATTAGTGATGTTGAGCATCTTTTCATGTGGTTATTAGCCATCTGTATATCTTCTTTGCAGAAATGTTTATTTAAGTCCTTTGCCCATTTTTTAACTGGGTTGTTTTCATTGAGTTGTAGTTTTTAAAATATATTCAGAATATTAATCCCTTATCAGGTTTATGATTTTCAAATGTTTTCTCCCATTCCATGGGTTGCCTTTTTATTCTGTTGACAGTGCCCTTTGATGCAAAAATTTTAATTCTGATGAAGTTCAATTTATTTATTTATTTTTTGTTGTCTGTGCTTTTGTTGTCATATCCAAGAAATCATTGCCAAGTCCAATGTCATGAAAATTATCCCCTGTATTTTCTTCTAAGAGTTTCATAGTTTTAGCTTTTATGATTAGGTCTTTGACCCACTTTGAGTTAATTTTTGTATATGGTGTAAGGTAGGGGTCCAACTTCAACTTTTTGTATGTGGATGTCCAACTTTCCCAACACCAATTGTTGAAAAGGCTGTCTTCCCTCCATTGAATAGTCTTGTTATCCTTGTTGAAAAATCATTTGACCATATATGTGAGAGTTTATTTCTGGGTTCTCTATCTTATTCCATTGGTCTATATGTCTGTCTTTACGTCAGTACCATACTGTTTTTTAAAATTTATTTTTATCATTTTTGATTTAGAGATGATTTAGAGATGCTTTAAGTTCACAGCAAAACAGAGCAGAAGGAACAGAGATTTTTTTCCCTTATAATCACTACCCTCACATATGCACTATCAAAAAAACGGTACACTAAAATGGTACATTTGTTAAAATCAATGAACCTACATTGCGGATTCTTATCACCCGAAGTTCATAGTTCATTAGTGTTCACTTTTGGTGGTGTACATTCTATGGGTTTAGACAAATGTATAATGACATGTATTCACCATTATGGTATCATATAGAGTAGTTTCACTCCCCTAAAAATTGCCTGTGCTTTACCTATTTATTCCTCCCTCTCTCCTAACTCCTGGCAACCACTGATCCTTGTACTGTCTCTGTAGTTTTGCCTTTTCCAGAATGTCATATAATTGGAATCATACAGTATGTAGCCTTTTCAGATGGGCTTCTTTCACTTAATAATATGCATTTAAGATTTCTCCATGTCTTTTCGTGGCTTGATCATTTCTTTTTAGTGCTGAATAAAATTGCATTGTCTGGCTGTTCCACAGTTTATTTATTCATTCACTTACTGAAGGACATCTTGGTTGCCTCCAAGTCTTGGCAGTTATGGATAAAGCTGCAGTAAACATTTGCGTGGAGGATTTTTTGTGGACATACGTTTTTAACTAATTTGAGTCAACACCAAGGAGCACAATTGCTGGATCATATGGTAAGAGTATGTTTAGTTTTGTAAGAAACTGCCAAACTGTCTTCCAAAGTTGTTGTACCATTTTGCATTCCCACCAGCAATGGACGAGAGTTCCTGTTGCTCCACATCCTCTTCAGCGCTTGGTGTTGTTAGTGTTTTGGATTTTGGCCATTCTAAGGTGTGTAGTGGTATCTAATTGTTATCTTATGCAGTGTTTTGATTACTGTAGCTTTGTTATAAGTTTTGGCATCAGGAAGTGTGACATTTCCAAGATTGTTTTGGCTATTCGGGATCCCTTGATATTCCATATGAATTTTAGGATGGATTTTTCTATTTCTGCAAAAAAAAAAAAAATGGTCACTGGAATTTTGGTAGGGATTGCGTTGACTCTATATATCACTTTGAGTAGTGTTGACATCTTAATAATATGAAGTCCAATCCTTGAACATGAGATATCTTTCCATTTATGTGTGTCTTTCATTTCTTTCGGCATCATTTTGTAATTTTCAGTGTACAAGTCTTTGCCTCCTTGGTTAATTCCTAAGTATTTTATTCTTTTTGATGCTATTGTAAATTGAATTGTTTTCTTAATTTCCTTTTTGAACTGTTCATGGTCAATATATAGAAAAATAACTGATTTTTTTGTATTGATTTTGTATCCAGCAGTTTTGCTGAATTCATTTATTATTTATAACAGTTTGTGTGGTTGTGTGTGTGTGTGTGTGTGTGTGTGTGTGTGTGTGTGATCTTTAGGATTTTCTACATATAAGATCATGTCATCTGCAAACATAATTTTACTTCTTCCTTTCCAATTTGGATGCTTCTAACTTCTTTTTCTTGCCTATTGCTCTGGCTAGAACTTCCAATACTGTGTTGCACAGAAGTGGCAAAAGTGAGTAGCCCTGTCTCATTCCTGATATTAGAGGGAAAGCTTTCAGTTTTTCACCATTGAGCATGATGTTAGCTGTTTAAGCAGTTTTTAAAAAGATCTTAAAAAGATGTGGGATTATGAAGTCCTGGGACCTACTTAAAATTGTGTTTCTCTGTGTTCTCGGTACCTAGCACAGTGCCTGGCACAAAGAAATTACTGAATAAATTGATTTAGAAAAAGATAGTTTCTCAAAACTGAATGAGCTAAGGGCTCTGAATGAAAGGTTGATTTAGGAATCGTGAAAGTGCCAAGAACTGAAAGGCGATCATAAGGGTGATAAGGAGTCCTCAGTAATCCACTGACATGGAGCACATGTTGCTCCTGCAGTGTGGGCAGCAAAGCCACTTGGATCTTAGTAAACTTTGCTTGGATAGTCTGCTTTTTAGAGGAACCTCCCTGGTTAAGTTATTTTTCCCTCCTCTATATTAGCACTTAATAGCTGGAAGAAAATAACATATGTCGTATCTCTTTGTATTTATGACTACTGAATTAATAACTTCAGTCCACTGGATGCAAAGAAAATGAGTGAAGTGCTATAAATTATAGATGGAAGTTGTTAATGCTAATAGAGTGTGTACTATATGTCTCACTTTGGCACAGTTTTGAGATAATGTGAATGATTTAAAGGCCTTGAGTCTGTTTGCCTTCATTTTAATTTGGAATCGTTGGAAAGCATTGAGTCACCACCATTTCATTGGTAATGCTGTGTTCTCTCACTGGAACTTAGCCCTCTCAACTTGGAGCAGATAAAAATTCTGATTAACTATAGTCTTAGGATGGGAAAATTGGATGATTTTGTTTAATGTGTTGAAATTTCTCTTCATTTGGACTTTTAACAAGCAGGTTCTAAATGTGAAATAACGTGTCCTCACTGTTTTCCCTTAAGGAGGGTCATCTGAGTTACACATTTTAAAAATACATTGTGTAAGTGCAGAACTTGTTGAGAGGCAGCAAGATGTAGTAGAAAGAGCGGGCCCTTTGGTCTCAGCAAGGGATTTTCTGGTTGCAAGTAATTGAAACCCTATAGTTTGTGCAAAGGAGATGCATTCTATGGGTATGAGGCTGCCTTACAGGATCCAAGGACAGAAGGGACAGCCGGGCTCAGAAGGGTCTGGGCCGAGGACCTAGAAGCCCTGGGAACTGAGGCCACTCAGTCTGTGTTGCCAGGGCCACATGGCCTCATCTCTGCTTTTCTCTCTGCACCTGCTCCTTTCTCCTCTCTCAGCAGACTGGCTGCCTTTGCTTCTCTGTCAGGCTGTGCACACGGCCAAGCACAGCTGCCGGGCTCTGGCTTTTGATCACTTCCAGTGCAAGGGCCGGCAGAGGCTGCCGGGCATCTCTGATTTCCGTATTCCTGGAAGAGAGAACCTGGTTATCTCATCGTGAGTCAGAGGACCATTCCTGGTTTGTTCATTCATTCATTCAAAAAGTCTTTGTTGAATGCCAGGAACCTTTTTAGGCACTGGGGAATATATCCTGCCCTTGTGGACCGTGTGTGTGTGTGTGTGTGTGTGTGTGTGTGTGTGTAAGAGACAGAGGAAGAGAGAGAGAGAAAGAGATAGAGATTGTGAAAGCTTGTTCTGGGGGGACTGGTTTGAATGTTGCGGTCTTCAGATAAAGAGCAGTATGGTTTGGAATTCAGCCCTGCATTCAGTTCTTGACTTTTCCCATTTCCAGCTCTGTGCAGCCTTGGGCATGTTACATTACCCCTCTCAGCCCCAATTTTCTCATCAGTGAAATGGGCATCATGCTTTCTAGGATGGTTATGAGAATTCTAACAAAAGGGTGCCTGTAAGGTCACTAGTACAGTGCCCGCCACACAGAATCAGAGCTCTGCCTCTCAGTGGTTGTGACCCTGAGACAGTTACTTAGCCCGTCTTAATCTGTTTCTTCCCCTGTAACATGGGAAAGAAGGTCAGCAACTTCACATGCTTATTATGAGCATTAAATCATGTGATGCGTGCCAGGCCGCTGGGAGTTTGTACAGAAGAGACCCTTGGTGCCGGAGCTGCGCTTCTTGTTCCCGTCATTCATCACATTTCCCCTCTTTCTTCTAGTTCCCATTTGGCCGACGCTTGCCTTGTGACATCTACTGGCATGGAGTTTCATTTCACGACAGTGACATATTCTCCGGTCTAGTGAACAAGTTTCCAGGTATCCACTGTTATTGTTGGCATTTAAAAACGTTTCCAGGGCTGAGCCTCAGGGTACGCTCTTCGACAAAAACATAACAGTGTTTTGACGTCAGACTGGAGGGCTCTTAATTGGGAATGACTGCCTACACGCTGCCTCAGTGCCGTGACCTTGGGAGGCAAGGTGATCAGGACTTAACTCACCAAGGGTTTTAAGACTGGAGGTTCCAAAACGTAAAAAGACAGGGTCTTCTGGTCTAATTCCACCGGTGGAAGAACATGACTCACCTTTTGGATTTCAGATATAATATGGGAGTGTCATGAGGGGACTATATTCTCAAAAGGCAAAAAAAAAAAAAAAAAAAAATAGACCATTTGCACTCACCATAGTTTCTGGAACATTTCAATGACTCAGTGAATGTGGACTCTGAATACGTCTACGTGTGCGGCTTGCCCAGGTAGACCGTGAGGTCCTGGGAGGGGCCGTGCCTCCTACACTTCTGGATGTTCCCACGGCTCCTACAGTCCTTCCAGACACACCAAGGCCCTCCGTAACTGCTGTCTCACCTACTGATGGCGAATCGGAGGCAGCCCTAGTTTTATGCCCATTGGAGGGAAAGGAGAAAGCAGGACCTTAAAGCAATAAAATGAACCGTTTCCCCTACAGAGTTAAGTCTAACATTAATAAAAGCTGCATGTTGCACTACAATAATAAACAAACAAACAAATAAATAAAATAAAATAGACCATTTCAATTTCTATTTAATTTGCAGGAGACGGAAAACAGAAGTTCTAAAATTCTGGGACAGTGTCACAGAAATGGGGTTCGCAGCTTCCATTTTCTTTAAGTATCCTATTTGCAGGTACCGTTTTAAAATCGAAATACACCAGTCTCCATACTGGGAACAGGAGCTGCGGACAGCCTCTGCCTTTAATCTGAAGGCATTGTCTAGTGTGACTATTGTCTAGTGAGACTGCAAGGGGGCCTCGGTGCCACATAGGTGTCACAGCCAACACTCTGAGACGCCCCTTCACTCCACTCCCAGCCTCCGCCCTATCATATACCTTTCCGTTTTACTTTTAATCTCTACCACCCTCTTCTGCCATGATTACTATTCATTATTTTGAATGGCTAAGTGAAGAGGCTGGTTAAGTTAACTGGGCATGTGTAGGGAGAAGGGGACATTTGGTTAATCTGGGTATGATCCCAGCCAAAGGGGTCCCACTTATTTTCAGGAGTTTTAACATAACGGGCATAAACCATATAGGATACAATAATATATAATTTTTAAAAAGCACACCACCCTGAATCCCATCCCTCATTTAACAAAACCACAAGGTGAATATTTCTAGAATTTCTCCCAAACCTTAACCATGTTTATGTATCACTTTTACGTAGTTGCAGCCAGAGTGTAGTTGTTTTCTCTAGTTGTTTCATTTATGCTTATTTTTAAGAGGAGGATCAACTTATTCTTTTTCTTTGGCATTCCATGCCACGTCTTTAAGAAAATACCTCTCAGAAAACCCAATATCCATACATTATACATTGGCAAGTTATGCCATGTCCACTAGCGGGTTTTTCAACTAAGCAAACAGACCACCATGGGCCACTTGGCTCAGCTTTACTTACAAGGATACAGGACAGGAAACACAGCTTGCCAGTCAGTCAGTGTCAGACATTTCTTCTCAGTGGCGTCATGGCAAGGGTTCCAGAGCTAGTCTTTGGCTCCGTAAGTGAAAGCTCAGGTGCAAAGAGACAAGATCCACATTGGTAGATGTGGGTCTACCTTGACTTAGAAACCCTGTAGGAGCCAATAGCTCACATAGCTCCTCCACAGCACAGCTTCCAGGGTCCCCACCAGGGTCATGCTAAGTAACAAGATTCACTACACTCAGGAAAGCCCGGAGCTGTGGCTCCCTACCAGGTATTTATGCAAGATGCCAATAAGAGATCATTTTAACCATATGCTTTGTTGTCTAGTCACACAGCTAACTTTCTCCCCTTATTGGTTTCCTGGGGAACAGAGCTAGAAAATTAACCCAAGGTCAGATTGGTTCTTAGAGGAGGAAGTGTTTTGTCAGAGAATAAGGAGGACTCTTGCAGCCAGGGTCCTTGCACAGTTTAATGGGATAGCTATTATTTTCTCTGTCTTGCTGCTCATAAAAGATGACGTTTGATGCCACTAAAAGAACTTATTGAGATATTGGGAGAACATAATTTGGAAGAGAACAACTCTTTGAATATGGACAGAGTTCCCAAGACATGAATTATCAAATGAGGCTTCACTGACATGTTCCCCATTTGCTCACGCCTCATCTGATGGCTGAGAGTAGGAAGGAAGGAGTCACTATAGCTCTACATTTGGGACACAAATAGAAACACAGAAAAAAATACACTCAAAGGACTAGTTTCATTAAAGGTGATATAAGAATATTCATTCTAAAGAAACACATTTGCCCCATCTCATGTTCCATGTGCCAGTGATAGGTACATACAATTTTCCACTTTACTAACAGCAATTAATTAGCTCCAATGACAAAGCAGGCCTGTAGGGCAGTGGGCCAGGGCCGCCACACTCTGCCCTGTGAAAGACAACAATCCTTAGCGATGGGGTGATTCCAGAATGGTCTGTCCTTTGGCTCCAGTTGGTGTCCATGCTTATCTTCTGTCTGTGATATATCCCATTATTCTGAAGATGCATTTTGTATGCATTGTGTATTACTTAGAGCAAGTTCTAGTGGACGTGCCAGGCAAGGATAAACACTTCACATGCTGAATAAACTGAAAACTTTTGGATACACATATGGAAGTAATTTATTTTGTTAGTGTCAGCACGTTAGATTTTAGCCACTTTTCTATGGGCAATTTCCTTCAAGATATGTTATTATATCTTAACTGATGAATTAAGACTTTCACTAAAAATAATCTGATTTAGATATGTCTTTGCCTTAAGAAAGCCTAGAACCGTCAGTTCTCAGCTTTGCAAGCAACAGTTTTTTTGCTGAGTTTCCGGGCCTGAGATGTATGGCAACACGTGGCGGGTGGTGCCTGAGAGCCCACCCTGAGGAGGGGACTTTGTCAGGGGAGGAGGGGGCTCCAGGGAGGGATCTCTGGGGACAGCCATCTGCCAAGCACTGGTCTGGGCTAGGGATACAAAAACAAGGAGAAAAGCACGTAAAGAGAGAAGTCAAATACAAAATAAGCGCCGTGCCAGGGGAAGCTTGGGATGCTGTGAGAATTTGGAACAAGGGCACGTGACCTAACCCAGATTTGCCTGGGGGGGCAGGCAGGGCAAGAGATCCTGGAAAAGAGGATTGAATGTGAACTAAGCCTCCAGGGATGGATGGGCCTGTCCCCCATGCAAATCAAGGGAGCAGATGGGGTGCAAAGACATGGAATGCTTTGCACGTTGCTCGTTCAGCAAAGGGCACGTGGCCCATGCTAGTTAGAAAGGGTCAAGTTTGATAGGGCAGTGGAGAGGTGAAAGGCAGGGCCCAAAGTTCACCGGGAGCCACTGAGAAATTTCTAAGCTAGAGAGTGACGTGGCCCAGCCTGCAGTTTGGAAAGATCTGCCAGAGGGGATGCATTGGAGGCAGGGGTACAGGTGGGGGGTTTGGGGTGGAAAGGCTGAGAGAGGAAACAGCTAAGAGGCCACTGCAGTATCCAGGATCTGAAAGTATCAACGTATGCTTGTTGTTTGGTGGTTTTAATGTGTTTTTGCCAAGAATTATTGTTATAAATGATACTTGGATTGAATAGCACTCCCAACATAGCTCAGATTGTGTGTTTGATTTGTTTTGTTTTGCCTTAAATTGGGCTAAGTAGGCCTGTTTGGGCAAGCCTGAGGATCAGACTCCTGTGTAACACCAATGGGCCGAGACCACCCGAGGCCCTGGGACTCCAGTGAGGCAGACAGAAGAACCCAGGCCCAGAAGCAGTGGCAGGAGGCAAGCTCTTGGGTGAGAAGCTCCAGCCTGAGTTAGGGGTTTTTCCCAACCGATAGGGGAACGGCCACAATAGGGACATCTAGGAACAGACCTTCTTGAGAAGTGCAGGTAGACAGTCAGCCTCAAAAGAACCTGTTAGTATAGTAGGAGCCCAGCCAGTGGGCTCAAGTCACACGAGGACTCCAGCCCTTGCAGGGGAGGCTTAGGGGGAACAGAGGAGAAACATCAGAGACTGCAGGGCAAAGGCGTTGCTGAGGCAGCCACTCAGGCACCAGGAGCTAAGGAGCGGTGACCGAACTTTGGGGACAGGCAACAGAGCCTCAGAGAAGTAATTAAAATCCTCCTTATCTAACTGGACTACAAAGAAAGGGTCCAAGCTCCCCAAAGGGGAGCTGATGGTTGGACCTAGAGCTTCTACCTCAGGTCAGAATGGGTCCCAGAGCCTCGGGCAGGGTTCACAGGGAGGGGTCACGTGCTGCAGCTGCTTGGAGAAGGTAGGCAGAGTCTGGAGCCAGCATGGTCTGACAGTGACCTCCCTCTTTACAGATTTACTCTGGAAGCATATGCTCTGGAGCAGCTACTCTTGTCCGCATCTTACTGAGAGATGACAGAGCCCACATCTGTCTCTGAGCCCCTGCCAGAGGCAGGGATGCTTGCAGCTACCACATGGGGGCTCGTGAGGGCTCAGAGATGCTTTCCCCTGCAGCTTAAAGATGGCAGAGGAACAAAGGTGTCAGTAAAAGTGGATTGAGGGAGGTTGACACTGCTGCCTTCCAGAGACAGGCATTGAGGCAGGGTTCGTCTACAGGCCGTCTACAGCCTGTGGGAAAAGTAGCCAGTGGCTTGAAGGGATGCTTCTTAAGTTGGCTGGTTTTGGTAGAGAACTATCTGGAGACAGATGCAGATGTAAACTCAGAAACAGATCTGTTAGCCGGCATGGGGGCTGGTGACCCGCATGACAAAAGGAGCCATTGCAGATTTAAAATGAACACTTCCTCCATTTGCTGGACATCGGTTTTCACAAAGCTTCTCTGGAGCATTGGAACCACACTCCCGTACTCACAGCACTCCTACGTGTGTTATGTGAGTCCTTCTGACCTGCTGAGGGATTTCTGAAAGCACACCTTCTCCTGTCACATTGCCATTAAAACTCGGACAATACCACAGCACTGTTTGGCCAGGGGGCATCACGTATTTGCTGTAAGGTGCTGTGTTGCACTCAGTTAAGCAGGTTTTTAGTTTAATACTATAACTAAAACAACTAAAACATTTCCAAAGAAGTTGGAATTTTGTGTACTTTGTGTTCAGCTCCAGTGTTTATAAGTCAAAAATTCTAATTTCACGGGGGAATAAAAGGAAATAGCTCTAATTTTCTGGACTCATACTGATTTCTTGGGAAGTTCAGAAAAGTGTCCTCAGTGAGTTTCCTCTAATATCAGAGAAGCCGTGTTAGAGCACAGTTTATTAGTGCCTTTAAAGCTCCTTTATTTCTTATTTAATCCTTCTCTATCTCCTTCTGAACAAGAACTAGGAACCTAGGCACTGACATCTTGAAGTTGCCATCTTTTAGATTTTTATTGCTCTTTTTAATATGCTGAGGGAAGCAAGTAGATTATTAAAACCTTCATTCTCAACGTTCACCCTTTGCTTCCTGAACATAGTTTAGAGAAACGTCATGCATTCTGACTTTGCCCATTTGCAATGCAGTAATTTGGACCTGCCAAGCTGACTTGGAACTTTGTACTTTCTATTAAAAAATGACTTTGCTAGCAAATTTCTAGTTATTGATGGAACTGTGTAGCCCCTTTCAGGGTGAAGGCCATTTTTAGTCTCCATTTTTTTGAGCAGTGATATTTGCCTTAAGAAATAAGCATGCTAAAATTTTAAATAATTTTTACCTATTTGCCTAAAATTTGCTAAGATATATACTCCGTTTCTTTTCTTGTCAGCATTTCTAAAGATGTGACAAGGCAAAAAACTACCATTCTTTTAAAATGTTTCATAAGTGAGACATTTCCATCCCCTCCGGGCAAATTAATGAGATATGATCAATGTCAGTTTCAGTACTCATAACTGAAGAACTCCTACAGATTCCATTTTTTCCCCTTAAACTATAAATTACGCTGTGCTAACCTCTCCACTTCTGTCCTTATTTCAAGGAGACAGATGTTCTGCTGAAAGGTGTGCATTTTTCTGTTTTATACATTTAATACTCATGAAAGATTAAAACAAAGCAACTTAATTAAGCTTCTCATAATGTAACCAGAGTCCACTAGTTAATATTCTCCAGGGTATAAGATGGAAGGAATTCCAGAGGTGTGCATGGTGGCCCAGAATTAGAGTGGATATTAAGTTTTAAGTGCAAGATATAAATTCTTCTCTTTATTTGTTGTCTAGGGGGCTGACAAAGAGTGGAATCATAAACTAGGTGGAAACTCATTCTTTTAAATTGATGCTTCATCTTTATGAGAAAAAAATATCCATCTATTCCCTCAAGTTTTTCATTAATTTGCTAGGTCTTTCCAAACCATGAATCACTGCTGTGGGGAACCACTCAGACCTTTTTTAAAATCCTGTCTGAAAAAGTGAATATGTCGGGTGGGTGGTTTTAAAAGTCCCCAATTATGGCCGTTTTATAGCTAGTGGCCCACTGTTGTTAAAACCTCACAACTTCTCTTCTCCCCAGGCATGACGGAGATGGTGCGTAAAATTACTCTGAGCCGAGCAGTAAGAATCATGCAGAATCTCTTTCCCGAGGAGTATAACTTCTACCCTCGCTCATGGATTCTGCCTGACGAGTTCCAGCTCTTTGTGGCTCAGGTAGGTGGCACTCCGTCCCCGTGACCCTTGAATTCTATGATGGCTGCAACTTGGTCCTGGGTCCTGTGTGCTGGGAGCTGGGCCAGGGGGTCCCCAGGAAGCTGAGACTGGTTTAGGGGATGTCTTACCAGGACACAGCAGGTGTTGCTGCGATCAAGGCAGCTTGCAGGGTTGAACGGGTAGGATGACAGGCAGGTAAACTGAAGAAGTGGGTCCTGACACCAGGAGACAGGCCTGAGGATGGTGTCAGGAGCTAGATGATGGGGTCAGGGCATCTGCAGAGCCAGGGAGTCAGACCTGGAGCAGAGTGTTGAGTCCACACGCGGACTGGGGCTGTTTGGATGAATCCCAGAAGTGTGGTCTCCCTGGCATCTCGCGGCATGAAATGTGGGAGGTTGGGCTCTCATCCAAGACCACTGAGTAGGTCTGACAAACTGAGGGGGAAACCTTCTAAGTGTCCTGCTTTAAATTTGTTCCAGAATCAATTTTCAAATGACCCATTCCATATCCAAGCAGTAAACAAAAACAGCTTGAAGTGGTAAATTTTGAAAAGGAAGCTCTCTGTGGAATGGTGGTCACATGGGTCTGTATACATTTCTTAAAATTCTTCGAATTATCGATTTGAAATGGGTGCATTTTGTTGTATGCAAATTATGTGCACAGTTAATTTAAAAAAAATAAACGATCGGCTGGTCCCTTTACTCAATCTCCCACTTCTGTGGCTTTGCTCACGCCACTGTCGCTACGTGGAATAACTTTCTACAACTCTATATTTAAGTATTCTGCAAGACTGAGTTTAAATGAGATAGATACCAACTGTGTGTTCAAAATCAGATAAGTGAGAAGAGCATTGCTATCATCCCCAGAAGTTCCTCTGTGCCTTTTTGCCATCATGCCTCACAACCCCCAGCCCAGGCAACTGCTGATCTGCATTCTCATTATAGATTAGTTCTGCCTGTTCAAGAAATTCATATAAATGGAATCATACAGTATGTACTCTCTTGAGTCTTTTTTTTTTTTTTGAGAATTATGTTTTTGAGCTTCATCCATGTTTGTTGTGTCAGTAGTTTGTATTTTTATTGCTGAATAGTGTTCCATTATGAACATACCCCAACTTATTTATCCATTCACCAATGGATGGGCAACTGGGTTATTTCCAGTTTGAGGATATTATAAATAAAGCTGCCATGACTATTCATATGCAGGTCATACACCCTTCATCTAACTTCTCCTAATATTAACATCTTGTATAATTACTGAAACTGGGAAATTAACATTGATATAGTCTTACTAAATAATCTACACACCTTGTTTGCATTTTTCCTGTTGTCCTACTAATGACCTTTTTCTGGTACAGCATCCACCCCATATTCCCTCATTGCCTTTAGTTTTGATTTCTCCTTATTTGGTCTCCTCTGAGCTGTAACAGTTCCTCAGTCTGTCTTTGTCTTTCATGACCTTGATTCTTTTGAAGAGTACTGACCGGTTATTTCCTTAAGAGTGTCGCTCAACTTGGTTCTGCCTGATTTTTCTCATGATTAAATTCAGATTACACATTTTTGGTAGAATACCAGAAAAGTGATGCTGTGACCTTCTCAGTGCAGCATATCAGGAGAGATACATGATGTCAAGGTGTCTTAATTCTGGTAATGTTAATATTGATCACTTAGTTAAGGTAGTATCTGCTAGGTTTCTCGACTATAAAACTACTACTTTTCCCTTTGTAATCATTAAGTATCTTGTGGGGAGATATTTTGAGACTATGCAGATAGCCTATTTGTCTCATAATTTTTTTTTAAAACAGCTTTAACTAAGGTACAGTTAAACTGCAAATATTTAAACTTTGCAGCTTGCTATGTTTTGATATATATATAAAAACCCATAAAACCATCATCACAATGAAGATAATGGACATATCCATCACCTGCAATGTTTCCTCACGTCCATTTATAATCCTTTTGTTCCTCCCCTCCCTGCGCTCTACCTTCCACTGCCAGGCAACCGTGGATGTGTTTTCAGTCAAGATTAGTTTGCACTTTCTAGAATTTTATATAAACGGAATCATACAGCAGATACTTTTCTGCATGTGTTGGGGGTGGGAGGGGCCTGGCTTCTTTCACTCAGCGTGTTTTGAGATTCATCCATATTGTTTCATAAATAATTCATTCCTTCTTATTACTAAGGAGTGTTCCATTAAATGTATGTACCACAGTTTGCTTATACTGTCAATTGCTGCCGGACACTTGGATTGATTCCAGTGTTTAGCTGTTACAAATAAAGATAATATGAACATTCATGTATAAATCTTTGTGTGAACATATGTTTTCATTTCTCTTGAGTAAATGCATAGGAATAGAGTGTCTGGATCATATAGTAGGTGTCCATTTAATTTTAAAGAAAGTACCAATCGTTTTCCAAAGTGGGTTGTGCCATTTTGTATTCCCATCGGCAACTATGACCATTCTAGTTCTTCCACATCCTTGCCGACTCTTGGTAACAGTCAGTCTTTTTAATTTTAGCCATTCTGACAGGAGTGTGGTGGTTTCTCATTGGTTTTAATTTGTATTTTCCTAATTATTAATGATGTTGGGCTTCCCTGGTGGCTCAGTGGTTGAGAATCCGCCTGCCAGTGCAGGGGACACGGGTTCGAGCCCTGGGCCGGGAAGATCCCACACGCCGCGGAGCAACTAAGCCTGTGCACCACAACTACTGAAGCCCGTGTGCCACAGCTACTAAAGCCAGCATGCCTAGAGCCCGTGCTCCGCAACAAGAGAAGCCATCACAATGAGAAGCCCGCGCACCGCAGCGAAGAGTAACCCCTGCTCGCTGCAACTAGAGAAAGCCCACACACAGTAACGGAGACCCAATGCAAACAAAAATAAATAAATAAATTTATTTTTTAAAAATGGTGTTGAGCATCTGTTTATGTGCTTATTCGCCATCCAAATATATTCTTTGATGAAATATCTATTCACATCTTTCACCCATTTAAAAAATTGAGTTACTTTTATTGTTGAGTTTTGAGAGTTCTTTATATATTTTGAACACATGTATTCATCAGATATACCAAAGGCAAATATTTTCTCCCAGTTTGTGCCTTGTCTTTTCATCCTTTCAACAGTATCTTTTGAAGAGCAAGTTCTAAATTCTGATGGATCAGTTAATTGATTTGTTCTTATATGGATCATGCTTTTGGTGTCATATATCAGGAATCTTTACCTAACCCAAGTTCACAAAGATGTTCTCCTATGTTTTCATCTCCAAGTTTATAGTTTTAAGTCTAGGTCTATGATTTGTTTTGAGTTAGTTTTTTAATATAATGTGAGGTATGGATTCACTTTTTCTTGTTTGTTTGTTTTACATGAGATATCAAGTAGCTTCAGAAATGTTTGATGAGAATACTAACCTTTCCCCCCATTGCCTTTGCACTTATGTTGAAAACAGTTGCTCAAACATGTGTTGGGTGTATTTCTGAATTCTCTATTCTATTGGTATATTTGTCAATCTTTATGCCAATACCTCGCTGTCTTTGTTATTACAACTTTATAAGGAGTCCTGAAATCATGTAGTGAAAGTCCTCCAACTTTGTACTCCTTTTTCAGTGTTGTCTTGGCCATTATAGTCTTTTGATCTGCCTTGTGAATTTTATTTATTTATTTATTTTTATGTTTTTTGAATTTTATTTAATTTATTTTTTTATACAGCAGGTTCTTATTAGTCATCCATTTTATACACATCAGTGTATACATGTCAATCCCAATCGCACAATTCATCACACCACCACCCCCACGCCACCACCGCTTTCCCCCCTTGGTGTCCATACGTTTGTTCTCTACATCTGTGTCTCAGCTTCTGCCCTGCAAACCGGTTCATCTGTACCATTTTTCTAGGTTCCACATATATGCGTTAATGTATGATATTTGTTTTTCCCTTTCTGACTTACTTCACTCTGTATGACAGTCTCCAGATCCATCCACGTCTCCACAAATGACCCAATTTCGTTCCTTTTTATGGCTGAGTAATATTCCATTGTATATATGTACCACATCTTCTTTATCCATTCATCTGTCGATGGGCATTTAGGTTGCTTCCATGACCTGGCTATTGTAAACAGTGCTGCAGTGAATGTTGGGGTGCATGTGTCTTTTTGAATTATGGTTTTCTCTGGGTATATGCCCAGTAGTGGGATTGCTGGATCTTATGCTAATTTTATTTTTAGTTTTCTAAGAAACCTCCATACTGTTCTCCATAGTGGCTGTATCAATTTACATTCCCACCAACAGTGCAAGAGGGTTCCCTTTTCTCCACACCCTCTCCAGCATTTGTTGTTTGTAGATTTTCTGATGATGCCCATTCTAACTGGTGTGAGGTGATACCTCATTGTAGTTTTGATTTGCATTTCTCTAATAATTAGTGATGTTGAGCAGCTTTTCATGTGCTTCTTGGCCATCTGTATGTCTTCTTTGGAGAAATGTCTATTTAGGTCTTCTGCCCATTTTTGCATTGGGTTGTTTGTTTTTTTAATATTGAGCCGCATGAGCTGTTTATGTATTTTGGAGATTAATCCTTTGTCCGTTGCTTCATTTGCAAATATTTTCTCCCATTCTGAGGGTTGTCTTTTCGTCTTGTTTATGGTTTCCTTTGCTGTGCAAAAGCTTTGAAGTTTAATTAGGTCTCATTTGTTTATTTTTCTTTTTATTTCCATTACTCTAGGAGGTGGATCAAAAAAGATCTTGCTGTGCTTTATGTCAAAGAGTGTTCTTCCTATGTTTTCCTCTAAGAGTTTTATAGTGTCTGGTCTTACCTTTAGGTCTCTATTCCATTTTGAGTTTACTTTTGTGTATGGTGTTAGGGAGTGTTCTAATTTCATTCTTTTACATGTAGCTGTCCAGTTTTCCCAACACCATTTATTGAAGAGGCTGTCTTTTCTCCATTGTGTATCCTCGCCTCCTTTGTCATAGATTAGTTGACCATAGGTGCGTGGATTTATCTCTGGGCTT